CACCCACCCCTCCAGTCTGGACCTCTTCCAGCCCCAAATCTTCCCAGTCCTGGTCCCAGACCTCTGCTTCCTGACACCCTCCACCCCCCACCCCCAGACACAAAGCCGGACAATTAGAATCTCTCCCATTCTCCTCTTTGTGGGTAAATTTTCCCAGGCCTGGGTCACACCCCTAGCTACGCCATAGTTCCACTCTAGTCCTGAGCCAGGAAGTCAATGCTTTGAGACATCTGGCAGGATTTCCTGAAGCTTATTATCTAGAGTGCAAAGATCTGCTTAGCAGCCACATTCCACAGTCTTCCCAATGTTTCTCCAGAAAAAGTGGGAAAATAAAAAAGGAAAGCAACAGGTATATAAATGCTGAATAACTATGATATACACCTGAAACTAATATAATATTGTATATAAGCTATATTTTAATAAAAATCTTAAAAAAAAATAAAGCTCTGCAATAAAAGAAATTAAAAAAAAGAAAAGAAATTTAAAAAAACAACAAAGCAATCAACTTTAGGGACACAATAAAGCCAAGTTCTGTCTGATGTCTGGTATCTTTAATCATAGGATAGAAAGTGTCACTAAGGCCAAAGGGGCATGATTATAAAAGGCTCTATGTTTTGAGTTTAAAGAATCATTCCGTCCCTCCCCTTTTAACTCAGAAGAAGGAAAAAGGAAGCAAAACATTTGGTAAAAGCAAGGTATAAGGCCATGGATAAATACAAGAGACTGGAGTTAAAGTGGGTTTGAACCCAAGACCCATTGGTACATTATCACGAAGGGTGTGTGCCCTAGAATCGCCAAAGGGAATCATTACTGCTTAAAATAAAGTCAACTGCAAAGAAAAGGCATCTCCCCCACCCCTTCCCCCTCGAGATATAAGTTTAAATCATTTGCTTTATATCATTACCACCTAAAGATGACAGGAAGGAATAGTGTAAATTAGAAACACACTTCCAAAGACATTCATTAAACATTTTTGTCTCTCAAGATGGTGTGGCTAAGATACTTTTGTGTTCTCTAGTTTCAGGCATTGAACTTTAGGAATAGAACTGCATAAGGTGTTTTTGTGATAACTGAATATGTTATTTAAAAAGGAGTCTTCTCATCCTCCCTTTTTGTGGTACCATACCTGTCATTAGAGGAGAAATCCATTCCTAGAACGATGCTTTCTTCAGTGTCTTGTCTACCATTAGTGGAAACCACTACCATATAGCGTGTTCGATTCTGGTAAGTACTTTCTAGTCTTACAGCCTGGAGTTAACAGACAAGAGATAAATTAGGAAATTTAGAAGATCAATTTTAGATCATTCAACCCTTTTTTCATCAGCATCTTAAAACGTACTCAGGGGAACAGCAGAGCCAGTAGTTAGGAGACCTAAATTCAAATCCCAGTCATGAGTTAACTCTAAAGTCTTCAATAAGTTACTAAATGAATTGAAGGGAGACCTAATAATACCTATGTCATTAGGTTGTAAGGATCATATGAAATAATGCATGTAAAGTACAGTGCTTGGCATACAGTAAATGCTCAATAAATGTCTGCAATAAGTACAATTTATAATAATAACAATTACCAGGGCATGTTATAAGATCGAAGAGGGGAATGTGAGGTTACATGAATGTGAGCATTGGACTCGGATCTAAGGCCCATAAACAATTATAATATGAAGCAAACTATTAATATCTAAGGAGATACTCTATTGAATTTCTACAGATTATACACTACAAAATCTTAGTTTCAATAACAATTACTTTTTCAAAAGCTTATATTACTTTTGTCAAAAAGTTTTAATTAATTAATTAATTTATTTTTAAAAGATTTTATTGGGGAATTGGGGGAGGGGAATAGCGTGGGGAATCGGGGGAAGGGGAACAGACAAGTTGCTGTCCTTTTGTTCTTCAGTCTAGATGTGGAGGACATTGTTGCTTCACTGGCCCTTGTTGGTATTGTGATCATTGTGCTCTTCCCAACTGAGGTAGATCGGTTGCCGGCCACTGGACGGCCGCTCACCGCTCACTCTGGCTGCCAGTCACACATGGTAGCTTACGGCAGCCCACTGCAGCAGGGGCTGCAGCCTACGCCTTTGGGGGAGACTCACAGCAGCCCAGCTCCAGGTCGAGCTGTTGTTCACCATCTTAGCTGTAGAGGGCAGTGTCACTGGCCCTCATATGGGATCCGAACCAGGGCCCTGCTGCTTAGAGCTGGCATCCCAAGCCAGCTCTTAACCAACGCGCCACTCAGACGGCCTTATTGCTAATTTATGATATTTTAAAAGAAGCTTCAGAAAATTTGAATATGGACAGGGTCTTAGATGATATTAAGAATTTACTGTTGGGCCGGCCGAGTGGCGCGATGGTTAAGAACTGGCTTGGGACTCCAGAGGGCCCCAGTTCGGATCCCACATATGAGGGCCAGTGACACTGCCCTCTACAGCTAAGATGCTGAACAACAGCTCAACCTGGAGTGGGCTGCCATGAATCCCCAGCGACGGCGTAGGCTGCAGCCCCTGTGGCAGTGGGTTGCCATGGGCTACCGTATGTAGCCAGCAGCCAGCGTGAGCGGCCAGCAGCCGCAGTGAGCGGCCGTCCAGAAGCCCGCAACTGATCTGCCTCGCCCGGGAAGAGCGCAATGGTGGTGCCAACTTGGGCCAGTGAAGCAACATCTTCCACAACTAGACTGAAGAACAAACCGACAGCAACTTGTCTGTTCCCCTTCCCCCAATTCCCCAGCACTGTTCCATCCCCCCAATTCCCCAATAAAAATCTTAAAAAATAAAAATAAAAAAAGGAATTTACTGTTAATGTGATAATAGCATTGTGGTTATGCCTTTTACTTAAGTATCTGGAGTGAAATGACATGGTGTCCAAGTTTTACTTTAAAATATTCCAACAATGGGAAGCAACCAAGATGTCCTTCAGTAGCTGAATGGATAAACTGTGTTCCATCCAGACAATGGAATGTTATTCAGTGCTAAAAAGAAATGAGCTATCAAGTCATGAAAAGGCAAGGAGGAACTTGAAATGCCTATTAGTAAGTGAAAGAAGCCAATCTGAAAAGGCTAGATACTATATGACTCCAACTATGTGACATCCTGTAGAAGGCAAAACTATAGAGTCAGTAAAATGGTCATTAGTTGCCAGGGGTCAGGGGAGCACAGAGGACTTTTAGGGCAGTAAAACTACTCTGTATAATACCAAAGTGGTAGATACATGTCATCATTAAAATCCATAGAATAAATAACACCAAGAGTGAGCCCTAATGTAAACTATGGCCTTTGAGTTAATAATGATGTGTTAATGTAGGTCTATCAATTGTAACAAATGCACAACTCTGTTAGGGGATGGGGGAGGCTATGTAAGAGTGGGGATAGAGGACATATGGGAAATCTCTCTTAAGTTCTCACTTAACGCTGGCGATAGGTTCTGTGACTTTAAGCAAAATGACATATAACAAAACCAATTTCACCATAGGCTAATTGATATAAAAAAGAGTTAAGTTCCTACGACATCTCATCAACATTACAATGAAACAACACTGACTGAAATGAGTTATTCCAGGACCTGCTATACCTTCTACTTAATTCTTCTATGAACCTAAAACTGCTCTAAAAATAGTCTGTTTAAAAAAATTTGCTTAGAGGGTAGATCTTATGTTAAGTGTTCTAATCATCATCATTATCATCACCATTATCAATAGAGAAGGTTGGAGGAAACTTTTGGAGGTGATGAATATGTTTATGGCACAGATTTTGGTAATGGTTTCATGGGTATATACTTATCTCCAAACTCATCAAGTTGTATATATTAAATATGTACAACTTTTTGTATGTCAATTATACCTCAATAAAGTGGTTAAAAATGTTACAACAAAGGAAAAAAGGAGGGGATAGAGGAAAGAAATCTGGCAAAATGTTGATGGTTATTAAAAACTGGTAAAGGGGTTCATGAGGACATATTTTTTACTTTATATGTTTGGGAATTTTCTTAATAAGAAGCTCAGAAAGATACTTTAGAAACCTTAAAAATAAAGTAAAATGGCTTCTAGTCAACATTCATTCAAATATTTACTATACATCTACTGTGTATACAACCGGAGCATAAGTGCTGAGGATTCAAGGAGAGGAAGAGAGATATGCTCCCTGTCCTCACGGAATGTACTGTCTAGTCCACTCTTGTTTATACCTATTAATAAAAAGCCAGAAAAATGTACACCGGAGGCAATTTCCGCTGTATAACCCCTCCTTACCTCCCACTTCCACCCCCCCACCCCCTCCATTCCTTATCTCAGAAGAGAAAACACATCAACTGGCTCAAGACATTTGTCAGAAATTCCTATTTGGAATTCTTTCAGTGCTGCTCTTCTTGGAAGCTCCTTCGCCTCAACTCCGTCACTATTCCAAAAGTGGCCAGGCAAAGAGAAAAATAGACAGAGTTACACAGCTCAAATGACCCATTTAGCAAGGCAGGGTGAGACTCCCGTGGCTATCTTTTTTGTCTCTATTCTGATACTCCTAGGAAAAGCCAGGGAAGCACAAACAGCAGAAGTGGCTACATTAAAGCTTGTTTCTAATAAGAGAATTTAATTTCCACCATTCTGATCCAAGTGCACACGGTAGAAAGCTGTACTGCTGGCTCTATGTTCCATGAAATAATAGAGCATTTTAACCCAAATTCACTTGTAAGAAGCTCAGAGAAACTAACATGTAAGGTCTAATCCTAGTGGGCTGGGAAGTGAGCATTATTACATACATAGAGTTATGGACAGGAATGAATGCACATGAGGACTGGGAGTCGGCACTGACTCTAATTCTAGAAACGCTCCACAAAATATTAAACTGGCCAGAAACCCAGTGCAGGTAAACTAGGGTTTCTTAGAAACAAGATCTTAGATATTATACTATATCTAAATGTGGGCTCGCCTCAGCAAGCTCTGAGCTAACTGTTCAGTTTCCTGAATATGTTAGAGGCTCTTTTACCCTCTCTGCCAGGGCTCCGAGAATTTCTGGCAAAGTTCAACTACAAATGGCATGGGAACAACTGAACTATGCTTCTGACAATTTATCCACAGCTTATACACCAGCTTGTGGCAAGTGACTGGCTAAGTTGAAGTTGATAAAAGGAAAGAAAATAACTTAAATCAGTATTAACTATCACGCAAGTTATCAGGCCAAGTGAGCAGGTGGGCAGCAAGAGTTTGTGATATTCAGTACAAACACTAGTTGTCTTTTTTTAAAAAGTGTGGTGTATTTATTCTTTCTATCTATCTATCTATCTATCTATCTATCTATCTATCTATCTATCTATCTATCTATCTATCATATCAAGAGCATTTCAAACGTTTGGCCCTCCCTTGCTTAATCTAATCACAACAGAAGATCCCAAACCTAATAGGAAAGGTCCCAGTCATCTCGTACTGACTTAGGCTTGAGTAACTAGCACATCTCAGATTCACTGAATCTTAAGATTCTTAGACAGAAGAATAGCGCTTGGGATTTGGTCACGGGCCTCTAGATAGTCTTTATAGTAATTACTAAATTCTTACTAAAGGAAAGTGGAGCTTTATTTAATCAGGGGGTTAGGAGCCATAACATTAATTTAACTCCTACATTCTAACTAGAAGAATAAGATAAAATTTTTTTATAGAAAAAACTGCAGTGTCAGGGGATGAACCTGAGGCTTCAAAATTCCTTTTAAGCTTCAAGATTCTAGAGTAAGGAATTAAACAGAGTTTTAAGAGCCACAGCATAAAGAAAAAACTAATACCCACCCTGGTTGGAGGTTCACTTCATATTCCTCTGTTGGGGAGAAGGTTAACAAAATCTAATAATCTAATTTAGTTCATCAAGCCAATCAGACAAGAGTAATTTAAAGTAGTAGTTTGTACAAAATACGCAAATGTTAGAATTGGCAGCAATTCCAATATTTCTGCAGTCTCCAGAACTTACATGGAATAGAAGACTGGAGTAAGACAATGATTCAGATGCATTTGATTAGCTAAAGTTCTCATTGGAAAGGATATTACTTCGGTTCATTCTAATTGTCCAAACAAAACAATATTCTGGACTTGAAAACTTGGCAGTAATAGCGACTGAGAAAATTATTCCAAGAAGGCCCATTTACTGCTACCTAAATGTGAAATTCTATTACAAGTTTCAGGTGAACTGGACCCAGCAATCCTAGGACTGAGGTCGATCTGAAAAGTTATCTCCTGCCTTTGCTTTATTTCTAGCCTGTTTTCAAAGTTCACCTACCAAAAAGTGATGTTAAAACTTCCCTCAGTAACTGATTTAAATGCTTAATCTGATTACAAGCAGTTCACAAACACCATCTGATACAATAGCGGTCTCAGCATCATCTAACATCCGGAAACACTACTCCCTAAACCTACTCCAACGAGTCTAGCATCGTGTCCCTGCATGTGATGTTTATCCGTAGGGAAGCCACATTATCAAATCCCAAAGTCTAGACAGGCAGCTCACCCAATCCAACAGGGAGAAAGGTTTCAAAAGTATGTAAATATTCAATTCCAGCCAAAAGAACAAAGCAAAGTCAATATTTAAAATTAAAAGAGACTTCAGATGTGATGCTAATAAACTAAAGAACACTGTCAACAAAAGAAACAGAGCTCGAGGGAGTCACTGCATTTTATTTTTTAAAATCTGTCATTATGAAATTCTTAATTAAAAAACCCCGGCATATTCTATGTAGCCATTAAAAACAGATTTATTTACTGACATGGAAAAATTTCCATGAAAAAGTGTGAAGAAAGCAGGTTATAAACAGCACATTTTCATCTTATTTTTGTAAAAAAAAAAAAAGCATTCTCTGACACATAGTTTTAAAAAATTTTCCTTCTTTCAATTCTGAGTTCGGATCACATGTAGAAACCTTCATAGTTATAAAGTAACTATGAAGTAGTAAAACATTTTCATATTGCTCAGAACTGCTTAGCCGTTTATACACACACATCCCCCCAACACCATTCATCCATTGCCAAGTCTTAGGTTATCCACTGTCACTTTTATAAACACACTCACAGACCTAAGACCTTATTGTTTTAAATTTATACTTTTGCTTCTCAGAACTACAGAGATCATGCATGTATTAGGGAGACTAGAAGGTCTTCTGAAGCTAAGGTTTGGCTGTTTTCATCACTGTACATTTCAGTGTACAGAGCAGATCTCAGAGAATCTGACATATATGCTTACATATACACACAAAAGACTGGAAGGATACTTCTACAAATAGCTAAGAATGGTTTTCTCCGAGTATAGGATACAAAACTATTTTTACTTTGTTTTTTACGTCTTTCTGAATTGTCTGATTTTAAGAAAACAATACATTTATATTTAGAAAAAATAAATCCACTTCCTTCTTGGGAAGAAGTCAATGTACTATTAAAAAAACAAAAAGAAAAACTCATTTTCTTAAAACTCTCCTGCAAAGTACTCAAAAACACCTCCTGGTACCTTATTAGCACCTCAGCTCTAGTTAAAAACATCAGTTGATGTTACTTTAAATGTCAGGAAAGTCCTTAATTTCACAGTCTATTTTTTATTAAATAAATGGATCTTTGATAATGCGCAAATGTACTAATATAAAACCCTGTCTTCACTGTACCAGCTAGGTTTCCTAAGCACTAAAGTTAATGCTTGAGACTGTATTTTGAATGCAGGGTTCCCTGGAGGAAAACTTGATTTAGTCCTGTTTTCAATGCTAAAGCAAAATGTGGGATTTGGTGACTCTATTTGTTGTTGGGTTATTAAAAAACTAAAGGCAGGACTTTCAGTTGCCGATCAAACTTTTAACCTTATGCACAAGCCCCAGAATGAGACTTTTAGCATTCCAAATTTAACTCAAAACAAAAGGCTTTACTTTGAGTCTACAAACGCTCCTTTCAGTTAGAAAAGTGCTAATTTATCCAAAGCACACAATGTATTCACTCATTTTCTTGAAGATGACTCACTCAAATAATCTGAAACATAATGACTATGTGTTTGTAACAATTCAAAACAACTGTGAAATGGCTTGTCATTTGAACTCTGAATTAATTCAGAGGCGTCAGTTACATTTTCTGAATTTATATTTTATAAATGTAAAGCAGCTGAAACTGCATATTTTAGTAGGGGAAGAAAAAAATTTAATTGCCAATTCTGCCTTCCTAACTGCTTCCTTAATGCTCTCCTATGTTTCTTGTGGTTAAAATTCTTTTAACATTTAGAGGTGCAAACCAAACTCCAGAGGTTATCAATGAGAAAAAGATAAAGTGAGTGAGCAACAGGCATCAACTTTAGCTCAACCAAACCACACAATTTTTGGAAACTATCAACAAATATCTATTGGATATCTAAGTACGTGCAATTAACCGTTATTATGAGTGTTAGAGGAGTTGGTCTCAAAGTGAGACTCCTGGACCAGCAGTATCAGCATCACTTGGATGCTGATCACCTGCTAAAAATGCAAATGATCACGGCCTCCCCCTCCCCACACCAAACACTTCAGGTGGGGTCCAGCAAGTGGCAGGTTCACAAAGCTCTGCAGGTGATTCTCAGGTACTCTATAAAGTCTAAGTATCACTATTTTGGAATATTAATGCTGTAGGAACTGCACCCCACTGTGTTCACTTATAAAGAAGTGTTTAAGATAGAGGTATATCAAGAAATATAGACAAGATTTACATAAGTATATGTTACTTTTGTGTTAGGATGTAAAATAATTATGGAAGGATTTATTTCGATTCCTTCAAATTTCAAAGGAAGTTTCTCAACAAAAATTAGTGGCCATGTCAAGAAGGCAATACAGCAGTATTTGAGAGAAAAAAAGTGACCATTTAGCCACAGAGTAATTAAGTGAATGAAGAATCAGTGATTTACCATAGAGATCAGAGGTCTGACCATCAACTTTCCAGTCATTCTTGTGTTCTAATCATTATTTCTCTTCCCAGATAGAAAGAAGAGTCAACTATTTGAAATTACTGTGTCTGTGGAAACCCAATTTCCAAGTTACCTCCCTAATCTAGAAGGGCTCATCACTACACACCTGGATTATCACAAAAACCATCCAGCGGCCTCCCTGATTTAAGATGGCCGCCTCATCCCCTATATTCTGTATTAGCTTCTGAGGATCTTTCTTAAACACTGTAGCTGTCCCAGGTAATTCCTTGGCTCAGAAACCTGTAGTGCTTCACTACTGCTTACTGAAGAGGCAGAGGTACCACCTCTAGCTATTAATCTCCAGGGTCAGATAAGGAATATAAATGAGTGAAGTAGGCCATTTGAATATTAAATGGGTAGAAATACTTGTCACTTTCTACAAAGAAACATACTCATCCCATTTTTGTAGGAAAAATTAGATGTTCGACTGTAAGAAAACTAACAGTGAAGGAATGATGACAAACAGTGACATTTGGCTTTAGTGGCCAGGGGACATTAGGATATGTAAATGAAGAACACAGGCCACCAATGCTCTCCCTTCCACCAAGTCAAGCCACGTTTGGCATGTGAGAATAAAATCCCAGTGTTGCCACCATTTCTGATTTTTGAAGAAAAGCTCCAAGTCTGGGTTTTTATGTGAAATCTCCCAACTTAAAAAATCTGGCTGAGATTAAAAAAAACAAAACAAAAATACTGTGTGGTCCAAACAAAACATATCTCTGGCCTATGGACTGCCAGTTTGAGACCTCTACTTTGGAGCATTAAGTCCCTATTTGCCTGCCTTGTTTTCTGGTATCTCATCTTCCCTATAGTAGCAATAATTCCCATATTTAGGCAGCATTTTATACTCTTCAATATGCTTTCATGTCCAATGGACTCCCTACACTGTGAGAGGTAGAAAGGAGACAAGAAAGTGGGCATAGACAGGCTAAGTAACTTGTCCAACCTCAGATGAGCAGTAAAAACCCAAGTCCAGGTCTCCCAGCTCTGAGGTCAGCACAAAGCCTTGGCCATTTCCCTCTGTCCTTGTCCCTTCCCATGTGTGTTTTTGCTTCAGCCATGTCCTTATCCAGAATGACCATCTCCTTTCTTCCTGCCAATCTAAAACTCTTCATCTTTCAAGACCCAGCTCAAACTCTACTGCTTACATAAAACCTTTCTCAAAAAGGTCAAGTCCCCAGATTTTCTCCCTTTTCTGAACTTCAATTGCTGTTATGGTCAAGAACTTACCAACTGGCTCTCATCAATAGTCTTGAATCATCAAATTATTTCCCATCACTTCACATTAGCTCATAGCCTCAATTACATTCTAAGCTCTGATGACTGGGACATGTCATTCTTCTTTTCTGTTCCACAGAGTTCCTGGCACTGTGTTGGGTCCTGAAAATGATTGCTTACTGTTTGCTATCTTAAGACAGTCTTTTGAGGAAGAGAGTAAAAAAGGATACCACCAACTTACCAGCCTGATGTTGTCTTCTGGGCGTAGTAATATGAACATTGCTTGGAGGTGCTGTTGGAGATCACCTGGTGAAATTTACAAAACAGAGGGTTATTATCCTCCACTGTACTGTCAACAGAGATGATTCCTTCTACTCTAAGGACTTACAGAAAAGAAAGCTCTGGTTCACTGAAGGACTCTACTTACACACAGAAATTGAGTGTCTTAATATGATTATTGACTTCTTTTTAAATGGAAAGAATGGTAGACTGCATCTCTAGCCATTCATTTTTCATCTATGATACATTAAAATTTGCTTTGCGTTTATCCCTTGGAAGGTACACTTGAAATGCTCAGTTTTGAGAAAAGTCGTGGTGAGATCTGCTGGGCAGAGGCAGCACTGGCTGTGCTCTCAGGCCAACAGAAGGTAACAATGAAGGAATCTTGCCATTCCCATTTCTGTAACTGTAATTTAACATTGCACTTAACCTAAGAAGATTTCTAGAGTCCTCCTAGAATAATTTCAACATTAAAATTATTTTCACATTAGTGGCTGATGTTAAAACGAAGTACCGTATTTCCCCATGGATAAGACGCACACTTTCCCAAAAAATTTGGGGTCTAAAAACTAGGTGTGTCTTATACAGTAGTTGTATAGTTGTAGATTTTTTTACTTGCATTTCCCGCTTTTTCGCGCTTGTTGTCTTTGTGCTCATTGTTTCATACTTGTTACCGGGATATTACTGTAGGTTACGTTTTACCACGTTCTGCCCAGAAATGGTTCAGAAAAGATTTTCGTACAGTCCTGAATTCAAGTTAAAAGTGATCCAGTTTGCAAAAGTGAATGGAAATCGTGCTGCTGAACGTAAGTGTGGTCCTCCTCCAACTGAGAAAACAATCCAAGACTGGCTATGGGAAGAAGAAACCCTACTGAAAACGTCACGGCAGAAGGCCATGAGAGGCAATGTATGAAGACAGTGATTCGTCATCAGACACAGATGAGGACAAGCTAATGGTTGGGAGTTTTGACAGTGATGAGGAGTTATATGAATTTTATGATGAATAAAACTTGAGTTCAGGGCCGGCCGAATGGCTCAGTTGGTTAAGAGCTCGCTCAAGAGTTTGAGCTCTGAGCAACAGCGGTTCGAGGCCAGCCCGAGCTGAGCAGCCGCTNGCGTCTTATACATGGGAGCGTCTTATACATGGGGAAATATGGTACTTAATAAACATAGCAGATCCCAAGGGATATATATCCTAGTGAACATATTATTAGGTGCTTTAAAATGGCCATTATTTGAATCCTCACCTATTGAAAACTAAGTGAAATTTCTTTGTATAGATTTCCTCATATTTCCTATTCTGTACTAGGAAATCAGAGGCTTTGGCTAGTAAGAGATAATTAGATAATGTGCTGTCATAAATGATGACAATCAGAGAACAAAACCTTCATTTCTGCATATCCAGGTTGACAAATAGGTGTCTGTCTAAAAGCCTTTCCTTCCTCCTCCACCCCCGCTTTCCTTCTCTTAAAGAATAGTTTTTTGGTTTATTTTATTTTGTTTTTGCCTCCTCCCCGCCATTTCACTGCTGGCTCTGAACAATTCCATTATTGATTAAAAAGGACATTCATTATGTTTGGCCATTCTACTACATTTCAAACCCAGATTCTAAATCTCATGTGCAAGAACCAGTATGGGCTCATAGCTATAAACCAAAGAGAAATGAAAACCTAGTCTAACACAAAAACTTGTACACAAATATTCACAGTAGCATCATTTATACTAGCCCAAACATGGAAACAATGCAAATGTCTTTCAATTGATAAATAACTAAATAAAATGTGGCATGTATATCCATACACTAGAATATTATTTGGTCATAAAAAAGAATGAAGTACGGATACATACTATAACATAGATGACCCTTGAACACATCTATGAAAGAAAGCCTGTCTCAAAAGAATGTTTATATGGTTCTATTTATATTTATACCAACATCCAGTACAGGCAAATCTACAGAAAGTAGATTCGTGGTTGCTTAGGGCTGGGAGAAAGGGGCTATAGGGAGTGACTACTAACTAATGGGGATTGTGTTTCTTTTCAGCAGATGAAAATGTTCTAAAATTAGACTGTGGTGATGGTTGCACATCTTTCTGGGAATATACTAAATTCTGTAACTATACTAAATAAATCACTGAATGTATACTTTAAATGGGTAAATTGGGTGAATTATATAGTATGCGAGTTATATCTCAATAAAGCTGTTTAAAAAAAAGAACAAGCATGGGGAGACAAAATATTAGGTATAAACAATAAAGAGTGACTAGAGTTACAAGTTACAACTGAGTTAAGCAGCTGAGGCTTTTTAAAAATTAAGTTTCCTACTGCCCTATCAGGACAATAACCCGAGGAAAGGATTTTTAGGGTGGAGAAGAACCACTTCTGGGCAAAGAATAGCCCTACGTCCCTACTCCAAGCACCACTAGCCCAAAGATCCAGCAGCCTTCTGTGAAGGTCAGGCAAGAATCACGGAGACCTTTCTGTACAGCAAGGCTTCTCCTGACATCTGTTATGTGGAAGCTCAGGTCTGTTAGCAGGGAAAAGTCTCCATAAGCAAGCTGGGGTTTTTCTGATAGGAAACTGTCCTTCAGAGAGACCTAACAGAGGCAATATACTGATACCATTAAGATCCCTCCCTTAGATTTTTCCATATATTTCACTGATAGTAACTAAGTTTCAGATTGTAATTGGATTTTTAAAAGACTTTTCGCTATTGCCCCTTTAAAACATTAGCAGGTAGTCACTCATATCACTTTTTGATTACAAAAAAGTGTTTGGATATTGTGAATAAAGCCCAGATAAAAAATTCTAACTAGTTCAAGACACATGCATACAAAAGTATAACTAGACATAGTAAGCCCTCGGTCTGCTCTCAGTTCTGCCACCATCTTTCTGATACCACAAGCTCAGCCAAGGCAGCTCCAGCTTATGTGAAGGTCTGGCTTTGTGAGCTGCATTTATACTCACACTGCCTCATCTGTTCTGGTCTGGATCACAAATCAAGCCCATTCAGTTTGTGTTAAATCTGCTTTTCTTTTTAGTATGGGGAAAGCGAAGTGAACAAGGTCAAGTAGAAACCTGGGTGGCAGTTGAGTGGGGAATTCTGACCAAAGAAAAAGGCCAACTGGGGCCAGGAGCTTTAAAAGCTGCTGACCCCACTTACTTTTTACATGCCACAGAGCAATCTGCCTAATGTTTTAGTCAGACAAGCTGGATTTAAACCAATACTTTGTCTTCTTTTTACTGTAAGTGATAAATATCCACGCCAAGCAGAAATACAAAGCTTAGCTGGGTCTACTTCCTCTGTGCATTCAAATTTTGGGGGGAAGTGTCCCTCCCCTCTGGTGGTGGGCATTGAAGAGGAAGGTTTTAGAAAGTGTAATCCAAAGCTCATTTTCAAAAGAGTGTTTTTCCCTCACTCTTTTCAAAATTTTCCACGCTGGAGAATTTGGGTAGGAAGAGAATACTGTCCAATGAGATGGATTATAATTCTGAGCTGCTACATCAGCAACTAGAGGAAGGTCCAAATAAGTGGGGCAAACACTAAAAGAGCTGAGATTATCTGGACTGCAGCTAAAAACTACTGCTTCAACGGGATCCAGTATTTCTGGCTTTCACCTCTGACTCACACACTCAAGGTTTGCTGTCTTCTTTGTTCTCTTCCTGGTAATCCCAATTTATTCCACCTGTGGACATAACGCGTCATCCAAGCAGCCCATTTATGAGAATAAGCAACCACTCTTTTTGTACAGCACTGATCAGGATTTCACCAATTACAGTCCTCAGCTTGGCTTTTACTTTTTTCCCCCAAAATGACACAAATCAGGCTTGCTGTTAGAAGACAGCATAAAGCTGATTATCTTCCTAAACCATGGATATCCTATAACTAGAGACCATTTTCCCTAGACACATTTTCTCTGATTCTTTCTTAACCTCATCAGCACAAGTGCATCTGACTTTAGAGAAATTCAAAATATGGAAATATAAATGCATATACTACTACTGTTAGTAGGTAAGATATTGTGATATTATATAAGAAATATATATTTGGTCTTCATTCGGTTCCTGGTACAGAGCTCCTAAAACCCTTGGAATTTTTTAAGTGGTGAGAGCAATAATGGTGTATTTTGTTCTGTTAATGACTTTACTTTTGGAAAGCATCTAAGTATGGATGCTGGTTGCAGGAATCAGGGGAAGAGGGGAGGGCTGGAGGGAGGAGGGGCTGGAGGTTGACTCGATGGCCAGCGGCCAATAATTTAAGCAGCCATGACTATGTAATGAAGCCTTCATAAAAACCCAAAAGAACTGGGTTCAAAGAGCTTCCAGGTTGGTGAACACATGGAAACTTGGGGAGAGTGGCACGCTTGGAGAGGGCATAGAAGCTTTGTACCCCCTTCCAAAACTACCTTGCCCTACGCACCTCTTCCATCTGGCTGTTCCTGAGTTATATCCTTTTATAATAAGTTTCTCTGAGTTATGTGAGCCACGTTAGCAAATTAGTGGAATCCAAGGAGGGGGTCATTGGAAACTCCAATCCACAGACAACCTGGATTTGTGACTGGCATTTGAAGTGGCGGGTAGGGTGGGAGGGGGGCAGTCTTGTACAACTCAACCTTTTAACCTCTGGGATCTGGCACTATCTCCAGGTAGACAGTGTCAGAATTGAGTTGAATTGTAGGACACCCAGCTGGTGTCCGAGAATTGTTTGGATGTGTGTGGGGTAAAAAACTCTCATATTGAAATTGGGTGCAGAATATTAGCAGGCTATTTCAAAATCAGAGTCGTACACTCATTTCTAGGTGAACATTATTTGATGATGCCTTGTTTCTACAAAAGTCCTCTGAATTAAATTTCCAGTTATTTTAGTGCAAACACAATCATGAAGACTCTAGCACTTAAGAACTGGTATTTCAATGTGATAATAACTCCTGTTATCACAACAGTGACACTGAGTTTACTTTATCTTAGTGTATGTATATTCACTATCTATCTTATATATCGTATTATATCATTTTTCCTTATAATATCACTAGAGAGCAGACAGGAAAAAGAACTGTAATCTTTGGTTAGTTGAAATTACTTTGCATAGGGTCCGAGAAAACATCCGAACATCTTTTAGCTATCAAAACCTTAATTGAGAAGTCACATAAGACTTCACTTGAGTATTTTTGTACTTTATTATTTTTCCAATAAAAATTTATTGAATATCTACTAGATGCATAAAGCATTCTGCTAAGTGCCAGAAAAATGGTCAATGACAATGAAAAGCAAAGTGATTACAGCATATTACAATGCTTTCTTTCCCTATTACAGAATGCTGGAGAAATAGGGATGAGTAGCCAGCCTGGTAGAACAAAAAATCAAAGAAAACAAGAAATGGGTTATGTGGAGCTTTACCTGCATGCTTGTTGCGTCTGTGGCTGATTCTTGGTGTGGATGAGCCATTTCCCCGTGGTAGAAAAAGGGCAGCACCTTTGACAGTTAGAAAGCTCTCACTGATGCTACAAGAAAAAAGTTGAAAGAGAATAAATTATTTAAAGAAGGAAATCAAAGAGTAAGATTGAAACCCACTTTGGCATTTTTCTCTCTTCCCTCTTCCCAAGTCCCAAATTCATGGGATGAAGTAAAAATACTCGGTTACTCACACAGTCCTGTTTACTCAAAACAATTTTTCTAGAACGAAACTTAAAATATTCTATGTCCATTACATGCTAGCAGTTAACAGTAAAGATTCTGGAAACACACAAGAAGGGTCAAGGCTCTGGAACCAGAATCCCAGGGCTACCATTTGCCTGAGTGAATTTTCTGGGGCCTAAATTACCTTATCTGTAAAACAGGGATAATAAATTGAGGTTGTCTGTGAGAAGTCAATAAGAATATAGCTTCTTAGAGTCATGTCTTTAGTGAATATTAGCTACTATTATTAGATCTATGGTTAATCAATAATGGTATTACGATAGTGTTCTAATCAGATGTGACTATGTTGCAATACTTAGTTACTAATAACAGATCCAAAGTTTGCAAAAATGATTTATGTTTAAAATACACACCGCACTAATGTGTTACTCAAAATTGTACTTTCACCAACTTGAGTTCCCACATGCATGGAAAAGGAGCAGTACACAGGAAGTGTGTTTAACCCACGTAGTTCGCCCTCCAAGTTAACATCGTCCTTCATGTGACTGATAGCTCAATGCAAGTGGAGAATTACTCCTCAGGACAGAGGCTATTCAAAATACAATTACTAGTGGATACAGAAACAGAAAACAGAAAATGTATCTCAGGTATTTCGTACCATCATACTAAGCCTTTCAGTGTTACCCACAGAATCTGAAAAGGATAGAACTTTTACACCACTAACGGCAAAGTTTAGAAACACATAATGGAGGGTTCCAAGTTTGCTTGTTAGTATGCTATTCAGAGTTAGCTAAATGTATTGTAAATTATACTGCCTACTCAACATTTCCACTTGGAAAACTAATTGGCATCTCAAATGCACATTGCCAAAGCTAATCCCTTGAGTCCCCCTGCAAATCTGATCCTTAGCCTCATCCACCCAAGTTGTTTGCGCCAAATACATAACAGTCATCGTTGGTTTCTCTTTTTCCCTGCAATGATACGTATGTAATCCATTGGAAAAACCTATGAGCTTTACTTTCAAATAATTCTTGACTGTGTCCACTTATCTCCATTACCACTCTAACAATGGTCCATAGCACCCTCATTTTTCACCTAGGCCGCTGTAAAACTATTTTTAAAAGCTGTTTATTACGGAAAACGTTAAACATATACAAAAGTAGACAGAATAATATAATGAACCCCCTATTCTCATATATTTCTGCTTTAATTCATGGCCACCCTTGTTTCTTTTATATCCTTTGCCATGTTCCTGAAGTGAAACTAATCCCAGACATTGTATCATCAAAAAGCCTCTTCACTGGTCTGTCTACAACCACTTCTGCACTGCTACTACCCGCTTACCAAACAGCAACCAGATCTGTTTATAGATCTATATATTTTATATTTATATATATACAGAGGGTGCCCAAAAAATGTATACACATTTTAAGAAAGGAAAAAACTGTATTAAAATTACGCTGAAGGTAATCACTTTGAGCACTTCTTCTAATTCCAGAAGTCAAACAGGACTTGTATTCAACTTTTGTTATTGGTATATATTGAGCATTAAAATTTTAATACAGTTTTTTCCTTTTTAAAAATGTGTATGTACTTTTCTGGCACCCTCTGTACATATGATGTCACTACACACACAATCTAATTATTAAACCAGAGTAATTTAAAATATATAAAAATATATAGATGTGTGTGTGTGTGTGTGTGTGTGTGTGTGTGTGTGCGCGCGCGCGCGCGCGCGCATGGTCACTTCACTGCTTAAAACCCTCTAAACCTCTAAAACCCTCTACAACCCTTTTGTACTTACAAATAAAAGCTGAAGTCTTTTGCTTAGACTTCAGGGCCCTGCAACATCTGGTAAATTACTTCTCTGATCTTGTTCCATCTCCCCTTTTGTTTACTATGATCTAGTTGCACTGCCTTCTTCCTGTTTCTTCTGTATTTCAGGCCCCTTCTCAGGGCCTTTGTGCTTTTTGTTTTCTACTTGGGGCACGTTTCTCCTGGCCTGTCACTATTTAAGTCACAGCTCCAGTATCATCCCCTCTCTCCACCCCCCATCTCAAGCATACTTTATCCTGTTGGTTTTTTTCCCTTCAGGATATTTATTGTATCTTCAAATTATATTCACTTGTATATTTGATTGCCCTTATCTCCCTATAATAGAATATAAGCTCCACGAAGAGCAAGGACTTTATTTTGGTCAGCACTGTATCCTCAACACTGGAAATCGTGCTAAGCACATATTAGGCGCTCAATAGATATTTGATGTTTGAATTCATCCATCCCACGTTTTTTTCCACAGCTGTATCTGTCCCATCACTGCAGCAGGAATTGTAATTTAGGACAAGAGAACAGAAATTCTGTAATCTCCCATGTGAAAAAATAACTGTTACAGAGCTCAACATATGTGGCAGGTTCAAGGATTATAAAATACAAATATTTGATGATAAATTCATTGGCAAATAAAACTAAATCACCTCTGTAATGCTGTCAGTCCCTGACTAAATGTTATCCTTTAAATCAAGTGATATGGAGCTGATAAACCTTTGAGGTGACTTGCCAAATAGACTGGAACATGTCTACCAAAAACAAACATAGCAATCCACAGACACCACTTTAAAATTTGCATGCTGGCTGGGAGGGGCTGCCTATATTTTGTTTTGTTTTCATCTTAAAATAAAGCATTGCGCCTTTGTGGTCTGTTGCACAAGTCTCATCTCTTGTTACATTCGTGGTATGCACATGTCACCCTGCTGTGGGTCACTGTGTTTCACTCGCGTTACGGGAACAACCTAAAACAAAAAGTCTGAGTGACAGGATGAGTGGGGTACACCACAGACAGGAAATGAAATTCACGCTTCTGCTAACACAGCAATTGTCTGCTTTAGTACATGAAAATATTTTAGCAGTAAAGGCTAAATGTTCTACCTATCCCCAGGCAGTTACAGTGGCGGGTACTTTGGTTTCCTGTAAACAAAGCAGTCTCTGCCTCTACAAAAGAGGTATATTTATTGAGAGCTTCAAACAACCAGGCATCCTTCAGTCATTCCTTTAGTGAGAGAGTAAGTTTCTCTTTGACAAACACTAGTTGAAGAACTAACTTCCTGGTTTTTGGAGCTCTGTAATATTGTTCTTAGATACATTTGTTGCTTATGCTTTAAAGCATATCAAAGTGTATTCTTTAAAATGGATGTAGTGCTTTCACAAGGGGAGGGGTTAAATGGGTGGACAAGGGCCCTTGGTGAACTCAAAGCTACATGGAAAATTCCTGATTATAAAAGAAAGACCAGAAGTCAAACTCAATGAATGGTATAAGGGAAAAGATGTCTTTCTATTTGAGTAATTTACACTAATCTCAATAAACTGTTCTGATAGAACAAAATGCACAGCAGATCTAGCTGGGCCAGAAGGCTGCCCTACTAGGTGCAGTACAGGGTCCCAGAGAGTCATGGCAGACACACCTCAGACGGTGCAATCCTCTTTATTTTGCGGCCCCAGATTATGACACCCCAGTTCTCACAAAAGTGGCATATACTGTTGGTTACAAGGAATGGAAAGTGTGGCTGACTACAAAAATCCCTTATTACTGAAAAAAAAGTCAAAGCTCTATAAATGCTATCAAAGATGCAACAGTATTACAGTGGCATGGAAGTGAAAAAATAAAATTCACAACCACCAGAATTTAAGTGGATCAAGTTCAACTTGAAAATTAAATGCTTTATTTGCATATGAAAAAATTATATGCTAATTTAATCACATGTACTTCAGTGTAAGGGAAAAGCTTAGTATATTTTGCTAGAATAGCAAGAGATTAATTTATGTAAATATTAGAGTTTCTGAAACAGCTGCCTGAAGATTCAATCGACATCGAGTTGGTCTCTAGTTAAAAATTTAGAAAGTCAGGTGAAGACTTTTACACGTTTTCTTAATTGACCAGGTCTCTAGAGTCTGGCCCAGAAACAGGGCTTCTCCAGTAAATTCTATGGCGCCATCCATATGTGATTGCAGATGTCTTAAGTCCTTTTGGGTTAACCCAAAAGGACTTTAAAAACCCCATATTAAGGGAAAGACAAGATAAAGAGAATACCACTCTTGATCTAAAGGTGGAGAGTAATTAGCTGCTTGATAAGAAAATGACATAGGATCATCTTTCTAACAGAGTGACAGTAAAGCTCTCATCTTCATCAGAATACAATTGAACATCTATTCGTCTCTTGCTGTAAGATCACTTGCTCAACAAAGAGAAACTCATCCCTAGTTAGATATATGAGATGAGCTAATGATAGCTAACTTGACTAGATGGCTATGGCTGCTGTATGTGAGGCACTGAGCTAATCACTTTGTTATTTAATTTAATCTTCACGACAATTCTATGAAGCAGGTACTATTTTTTTTACCCCCAACGTACATTTAAGAGACAGAGGGGCTCAGAGATCATATTATTTGCACAACATCATACAGCTAGTCATCCTTAGAGCAAGGATTCAAACCAAGGTCTTGTTTGCAAGTTCATGCTCTGAATCGCTTTCTACTGTGCCATTCTAGTTTCGTGACATACTTTGTGGAAAATGAAGCACAATGTCTCTGCCACAGACCCTTTCAACAGAATAGAATTTAAAAGCAGAGTACAAGAGTGAGAGAAAAGGACTGAAATCCATCCAGATCTCAACTCTTCTCGTTCCTTGCTTGTTCCCTCCATCAAGGCCACGGACAGAAAGACTATCCTGAGGGGAATGCAGAACATCTGGCTGAGAGATGGACCCAGATGGGCTGGACAATAAAGAACTGGAACTTCTGTTGGGAGCGATGGTAGTGTTTTGGTCTCAAAAATGGAGGAAAGAGGACTCTGCTTTAAATAAATTTGAGG